AGACTTTTAGGAGGGACAGTACATAGTAGCAGTTCTACACTGATATCTATCTCATATTAGTGTATCAAAACATACATAATATAAAGTATCCTACTGCCAGAGCAAGAGCAGGAGCAGGAGCAGGGCAGAGGAGTTGGGCCACATTTGGGCCACACAAAACAGCTAATTTTTCGAAATGTATGCAGGGCTTTTAAGGCAGGATACTTATGTTCAAGATTTGCTCTGTGCATGCTCATAAAACTTATTATGTTCTACTGGTATGCTCAAAATGAAGTGTAATAGGAAGGGAGCAGGGTAAGAGCAGGGGCAGGGAGCAGGGAGAATTCCAGTAGTAGCCAGTGCCACATCCCAATTAGGGTGAAACCCTAGGATAAGGCAAGAAAAGGAAGGCCGAATCAATAATCAATAAAGTAGTAATCCAAAAGCAGACGGTATGCAATAGAAGCATGGAAGCCACATTATAATGTGATCCCATGAGAATAGCGCCTGAGAAGCAGCCAGAGGTTCTGGCTCACATTACAATGTCAGTGCACGGAGATCCCGGCTCACATTGTAATGTTTCTACATGTACGCCTGCTCGCGAGAGGGTAGGGAGGCTGCGTAACTTGTATTGACACTGAGAATGTTGGTTTCCTGGTCCGCGTAGACATAACCGGAGTAGTGAACCTCCATTGTGAGTGGAATACGGCCGGTAATATTGGATGGAGGGGAAGCGGGATAGCGAAGGTGGATAGGAGTGGCGTCGGGAGGGATGATGAAAGGCTGGGGGGAGTTGGTTCCTTCGATGCAACGAACATCGACTCCTCCGGTGCTTCCTCGCCATAGAACTCCCAATCTTCCATTTCGTCGTCACTCTCAACCATGGCAAGCTCGAAGTCCTCCTCCGCGACATCCTCAGCCCTCAACTTCTTTGCCTTGCTCTGCTTCTTTGCCTGTGCTTCACGCTTCGAAAGTGATTGCCACAAGCATATGGTAGCCTGGCCAATATGAGGTTCATTGACGGCGGTGTGGTGGCGCTTCTTCAGTTCCACCTCCTCGCCGGGATGACATGGAGTGAGAGGACTGGTTGGCGAAGCACGCTTGAAGTAGACGAAAAGTTCGGGCTTGAGCTTCTTCTGCGAGAGCCGATGCAAAGTCTTGACCTCGCTGGACGAAGTGGGGTCTACTTTCGTAATTGCACGGGACCATACGGCCCAATTATTGGCTAAGCAATCAAATTAGGCTCAAGTCCATGAGAGAAAGGAAGAAAAAAAACTTACAGTCATAGAGCGAAGGGAATGGGCTTGAGGGTACGTTTGACATGATTTCAGACGACTAGCGTGTCATAAACAAATGACGGTGTACATCAGTGAGTGTATGTAGCCTGAAATATGAACGCACGCACCAGTAAATTTGAGACAAGCCAAGGGTATAAGGTTGCTGTACGCGATGAGCGCGTTGCACTCCTAGTGATGACGTGCGGAGACCAGAACAGACACAACGAGATAGAAAAGATGGTCAGTGTTAGCATGAACATCAAAGTAAAGAAACGCACCAAAAAAGATGAAAAAAAAGTTACCGCTGCAACTAGCCTCGAGGGAGGTGTTTCGAAAGTGAGCGGAATTCGTCCGCAGGTGGGGGCAATATCCAAGGCCCGCCCAGGGGTTCAAGGGTGCTGCCTAAGAACCGGAATGGGCCTCAGAGCCTACAACGGAGACGCGACACGTTATTCCGATGCTCGAACTCTGTGGGCTCCGTCCAGAAAGGGGCCTGAGGGTCTTGAGGGGGCGCGCGTGAGCGCGTTGCGGGCGGACGCGTGCAGAGACGCGATGAGGGTGGTAAAGGAAGTGAGCGGAGACGAATTGAGGTGGAGGAGGTGGATGGAGACGCGGAGACGGCGCGCGGATATGTGGAGGATGCGTATACGCGGAGAGGGCGCGCTAAACAAGGAAACACGTATACTCAGAAACACGTATACACAGAAAGGGCGGGTAGAAAAAAACACACCAATACGCGGATACGCAGAAATATGTATATGCAGAGTGGAAGGGCACGCAGATACGTGTATACGTGAAGAGGGTGCACGGAGAGGGCGGACGCACGGAGAAGGAGCGCGGAGATGCGTTGGGGGTGGAGATGGTGGGTGTGGAGGGGATTGAGGCTGGGGAGGGGGCGTGCGGAGAGGGAGAGGGGGCGCACGGAGAGGGAGCGCGGATACTCGGATACGCGTATTCACGGAGAGGGCGCCCGTTAACGCGTTGGGGGTGGAGATGGCGGGTGCGGAGGGGATTGAGGCTGGGGAGGGGGCGTGCGGAGAGGGAGAGGGCATGCAGAGAGGGAGCGAGGATACGCGAGTACGCGTATTCACGGAGAGGGCGCGCGTTAACGCGTTGAGAGGGTACGCGTTGACGTTGACGCGGAGAGGGTGGAAAGTGCGGGCACGGAAGGGATTGAAGGAGGAGAGGGCGGGCGGAGGCAAGTTGAGGGGATAGAGAGGGCGGGCGGAGACGCGTTAATGCGGAGAGGGTCCGTGTAGACGCGTTAATGTGTTTAGAGGGTGGGCGCGGAAGGGATTGAGGGCGGAGAGGGCAGGTGGAGACAAGGTAAGGGGGGTGGAGAGGGCAGGCGAAGACGCGGAGAGGGTGGAGGAGGAGCAGGCGGCAACGGAGGAGACAGAGAGAACAGCGGCGGAGGGGCGAAAGACGCGTGGGAGCCGCAACACTCGCTGGCCTGTGCGTGAGAGCGAACTCCGGCATTTGCCATCCGCGAGTATTCACGTGTCTCATTTCGTCTCTCTCCCTCTCTCCTTCGCACGCCCGCCTCACTCGTCTATCACACCACCCTCGTCTGGATCGTCTCTCCCTTGCTCTCGTCAACATGGCCCAAAGCTCGTGGAAGCATGCCCGGGGGTGACACGTCGTGTTCCCTGGGATGCCATACAGCTTGCTCTGGTACTTTGGCGACCTCTTCGACGTCGACAGGGCTCAAGGGCTCAACACTGACTCGAGGGTCCGTGTTCATGGTCCTGCTCTGTGCCCTCCTCCATTCTCATCTTGCTCGACGTTTATTTATTCCGCAGGTGATTCTGGCTCCTCACGGGCTCTCAGTCATAGGCATGTTTTCACTTTTATCTCCACGATGCTGTTATCTTTGCTGATTTTTCCTGTTGGTTTCCAGGTGTGATCCTGCCCGTTCACATGCGGCCACTTCGCAGGCACCCATAATATTTTCTTGTGAGTTCGTGTTCGGTTTCTGCATCACGATGTTGATCGTCGACTGATCCATGTTTTTTTTCTTATGTCCAGCGAGAGCAACGGTGAGTACTTCATGCCCTTTCTCTGTATGTATTGGCTAATCACAATCGTTGACGGGTTCAGATGATCCAGCCATGCTTCATACATGCTTTGATTTGCAGATATCGAGGCACATATACCATGGTGAGTCTGTTTGTCATTTACTAACCTTATTGTGTTTACTCACTCAATTTGTGCAACATTTTCCCACAGATCATCGGACTTTGCTCCGGTCTCGCACTACACGCCTGGTACAAACATGTCTATCATCAATTCTTGTATATATTTCCCTGCGGCTTGACCTTCATGTCGCTGATCAGGTGCTGTCCGTCCTCGTACCTCCAGTTTCGAATTCTGATTTTTCAGACGTTCGGTGCTGGTACTCATCCGAACATACATAAGCCCACAGTTCGTCCCCTTTTTTTATCCACAGCCTAAACTTCACTCATTTTATGGCTGCATCTGCTCCACCGGCAGGCCCTCAAGAACACTCCAGATCTCCTTCGCCCACACTCTCTGACTCGATACCATCTCTCGTATCTGTTACTGACTCTGACGACAACATCAGCGAACTCGACAACTCATCTACATTGTTTCCTCGTACCATCCCGGTTCCTCATCCACACCTATGCTCATCTTCTCGGTCACCCTCTCCGATATCGACCACACCTTCCTCATCTTCTACTTCACCCACACCGTCGGATTCCGGTTCTGACTTCTCTCTACCTGCTCTTGACGACATAGTTGACTTTCGTCCGCTCGATCCGGCTCTCCCTCACCTCCTATATTTCACGTCTTTGATCTCGCCTTCAATCTCTGTCTCTATCACGATCCACAATGGCAGGGTCTTCGTCGACACATTCGCAATCGGGCAAGCGTCCTCGTCGCTCTACCGGCGCTGCTCAAACCTCCAAACGCAACAAGGTTGGACCCGCTGCCCCGACACCCGCTTCCGCAGCTTCCTCTTCTTCCTCATTGAGTGCGCAAGGAGGCTCGCCGGCGGTTCACTCAGCCCAATCCACACCGACGCCGGACTCGACCACTACTTTGACGGGTTCTTCGTCAAAGACAACCGCGCAGAAGAAGATGGACAAGTTTAACGAAAAATGGGGGCCGGAGCTGACTACGTTAGAGGATATACTATGTGTGTATCTTTCTTTCTTATTTGTTATCTTAGTTGAAGCTCATAGCTGCTGCAGCGAAGGTTTTGAACGGGTGGAAGACAGACGACGCGAAATCTGTTTACAAGAAGTATAAGATGCCGCCGGGGATTGAGGAGGGAGAGGATGGGGTCGTAAGGTACACATTCTCATGCACCAAGTGAGGTTCCTTTATGCATGAGCCTTTCAAATTCTGTGCTAATATATTGTAACTTCTCTTCTAGGTGTAAGCATGTCGTCAAGCGGGCTTGCTACGATAATTCAACAAGTAACTTATGGGACCACGTCAATGCCAAACATCCTGAGCTTCCGGCGAACCAAGGAACTGTGACCAATTTTGCTCGTGGCTCGACATACACTCCCGAGAAGCTCCGTCTCTATGAAGTCTTCTGGTGCTGCTCGTCCTCTCGACCGTTCTCAATCGTCACCGATGAATGGCTTTTGAAGATCTTCAGTATGTTCCACCCTGGTTTCAAGGATTGGTCTGAACAGACGATCTCGCGCGATACCCACGAGATCTTTAAGATCGGTCAGAAGAACATCACAAAGGTCATTCGAGTAAGTTTGAGTTTTTTATTCTCTATGATCTATTGATGTGTGTATTGACCCAACCTTCACAGGCTACTCCAGGCCGAAAGCACATAGCATTTGATGGCTGGACCTCCACAAACGCACTCACATTTATCGGGCTCAATCTCTACATGATCTATAATGGCAAACTCTGCTCCATCCTACTCGATTATGTGCCCATCGAGACTGCGCATACCGGCCGTCAACTCGCAGAGCACATCTATGGTGCTATCAAGACATACGATCTCGAGACCTCCGTAAGTCATAATTTCTCTTTTTTGTCAAAGAGTGATGCTAAATCTTTGATGTAGTTGTTTGGAGGCATTGCCGACAATGCCGCAAACAACTTCACCGCTCTCGATTGTCTCGGCAGAATGCTGCCGGAGAAGTCTCTCCTCAGCCGTGCAACTGCTGTGCGTTGCACTTGCTACACGTTCAACTTGGTCATGAAGGTGATTTCTTTTTAATTGTTTAGTGTCAGAAGAGATTCTCATGCGGCATGCTTTTCTTTCACCGTAGGCTATCTTCGCCACATTCAACTCGAAGAAGAAGAAGACTGGTGATGGTGAAGGAGAGGATGACGAGGAGGAGGATGACAATGAAGGTGTCGATGAGTCGGATGTGGAAGAAGACCTCGAAGATGATGAGCAGAGTGAGGAGGAAGATCTCGAGGATGATGAACACGAGCAGGAGAGAGCAACGGATGATGAGTCGGATGATGGAGAGGTTGACGAGGACAGGGAAGAGTACGATGAGATAGAGATGGAGGAGATGCGGGAGCTGATAGAGGACGAGCTCAACCTCGATCGGCGGGTACTAAAGAGCCCACGTCTGGCTATCCAACGCATCAAGCTCATCGCTCACCGCACACACTTCAGCTCTACCCGTCGACGTGCCCTCAGGCAGTATTGTGTCCAGAAGAAGGTTCCCGAGAAGATTCTACCCCGTGCAGTTGTCACTCGCTGGACGTCACTCATGAACACCATTGCTGTCGCGCTCCAGATTCACCCCGCCGTCGCACTCCTCACCGAGAATCCCAAGCACAAGCTTACACATCTCGCCCTTGACGAGGAGCAGTGGACGTTTCTCGGTCATCTTTATCCCATCGTTGATGTGAGTACTCTCAATTCTGCTTATCTGGTCATTCTTATATTTGTCTTTTTGTTAGCAATTCCATCGGGCCATAGTCCACCTCGAGGCTCGTAACCGACCGTTCCTCTATGAAGTCATTCCTGGCATGGACAACCTCATCACGTTCCTGGAGGACAAGGCCAGTGACGAGAACCTTCCCATTGCAATCCGCGCTGCCGTCTTCAATGGTCTAAAGATCATGAAAAAGTACTATGCCCTCACTGATGACTCAATTCTTCTGCGCTGTGGCATCAGTAAGTCTTTATATCTCATTCGTTCCTTTGCCTATGCTTATGTTCTTTTGCATTATAGTATGCCACCCTGGCCTCAAGATGGTCTATTTCACGAGAGCAGGATGGAGCACCGACTGGATAGCTGCAGCTCGCAAGGTCATCACCGACCTCTGGCTTGAACATTACAAGCCTGATGTTGATACTAATCCCGTAGCAGCTCCAGTAAGATATTTCTCATTCTGTCCGATAGCATCACTATTAACGCTTATTGTTGTAGGCTCCTGGTACTTGTGCAACATCTGTCTTCTCTCCGAACATGGGCCATTCGGAGCCAACCAATGTTCTTGAAGAGTACCTCAATTCTCCCTTGGTACCCACTGATGATCCTATTGGGTACTGGAATTCCTTCTCGACCACTCCCCGTACTGCCCCTCTTGCTCGCATGGCTCTTGATGTCCTCTCTTGCCCTGGTGAGCTTTTTATTCATCGAAATATTCGTCAGGCACTCACTAGTTACTACAGCTGCTTCAACAGACCTTGAGACTGGTTTCTCCTGTGGAGGCCTCACCGTTTCGAAGCTTCGCCACTCTCTATCTGATCAGAGTGTTCGTGCTGCCACAATCATCGGTTCTTGGCTGAGGCTAGGTATTCCCAGAGTCTTAGATGAAGCCGAGTTGCTTGAGGGCCTCCGTGATAAGCCGAAGTGGTCGAACAAGGGAAAGGGTAAGGCTATTGAGTCCAATATTGATGTCCAGGTTGTCGAGTAGGGGTGTGGGTGCTGCTAGTGTTTACCTTTTCTCGTTCATTACTTCAACAGTTTTCTCTCCAGACTTCAACAGTCCTTCTCTCTTTGGACTTCAACAATCTCTCGCTTTGTATTATTTTTGTGTCTCCCTGAGATCAATATATTTTCTGTCTGTTCTAATCCTCTGAAATGAGCTCTTATAGTGACATCCGACACGAGTACCCGTAGGAGGTACCTGCTACCGCTCCCTGTTACACCTGTATCTGGGGAGGTATCCGTGGGAATGAATATCCGTATCCGCGAATACAGGTACTCGGCATTGTGCCTGATGGATACTCATTGCAGGTACTCACGGGTTGCGGTACTCGTGGCATGCCCTGACATGACGAGCGGCGATGGTGTGACGAGACGTTGCCACCCGTTGTTCGCAGTGTTTGTTGGTGATTACTCGGAACAATGCCTCGTTACGCTTTTTACTGTATCACACAGACAAGCCATGTCATAGTGGATGGCCCAGGAACATTTCATATGATGTATTCTAGCTTTGTACCACACCGCACCATGATCGCACTGCATTTGAGAGAGATCTGGTCCATATACGCCCCCAATACTACATGTGCACCTGCTCTCCTATCGAAAACATGGTTTTTCTTTTTCAACTATCCACCAGTGGCGGTTCTAGTGCTTGATTAATGTTCATATACATTTAAACTAAATTACCACAACAAGACCGGTACCAAAAACGCGTGAATTGGTGTTTCTGTGATTATACTGTGGCCCAATACACTGTTTTACCCCCTCAGCGCCCCACAATTGGTGCAGGAGCATTTTGACTGATGTTGCACCGTGAATCGTCCTTCCAAGAGTCAAACTACGTTGTCCAATCATAATACCAACATCACCAACCATTCCAACCTCTGCATTACCCCCTGGGTAGACGTTCTCCTCCTCCCCCCCTTGACGCGGCACCACTATGAAGGACACAGTCGTGATTTTGGCATCTGGTGTGGCCATCATAATTAAGTAGTGATGTAGGCCTACCCATGACAGCAAAAACCAAGTTAATCGAACCGTTATATCACTAGTTCTGGCCTATCGACCCCCTCCAGCCTCGATGTGGCAATATCTTCCTGACCGTTTACGCTATAACTTTGGAACAAATGGACCGATTCCTTCAAAAAATTATTTATATCATCTTGTATATTTATAAATGTTTGTCAAATAGACAGAACTGCCAGAATCAGCCTCCTTCATCTCGCCGAAATCACATCGCCAATTTACGTTTTATACGCTGATTCCATCGAAACGACACCCGGCAATGCGATTCATTCGTTCTAAATCTGAAAACTCGCAAAGTTACAAAAACACCCCCAAAACACCCCCTTGCCCCCTGACAACCCCCCAACCAGCACCTGCCAGGCCTACCCTAGCACCTATCCTATTATTTCCTGATTTTCCCTGATTTTTATTGCACCTACTACTGTCCCGGTACACCCAGTAACGTCCCTAGTAGCCAAAACTACCATAAAACACGCCCAATCCATGTATTCAGGGCTCTTCACTGTTGAACAGTGTCGAAGGTAAGTGTAAGTGTTATTCAAGCCTATACAGTAGGGTACCTTCGCGAGACGAATTAAAATAAAAGCAGGCTCACTATAGTTGTTGGAATCATAAAATATGTGGGTGACCACAGCTTTGTTACAAGCAACGATATAATATGTCACGCAGAGTGCGGCAGACGCCTGAAGCAGCAAGTAAGATATACGCACAATATCTTCATAAAAGAATGCTGCCCTAATCGTGAAAAGGGGTCCAAGAGCAGATAATCATTTTATGTACATTTTGTTCAATTCATGGTTGAATACTGCCTTCTCATGCCCATAGATGAGAGTAGCGGCACCACATGACTAGTTTCGGATGTTACAGGTTAGTGCTCATGAACGGTGAAGTGACCAAGGTCAAGACATTAGGATGACACACTGGACACGGAAGAGTATTGATATCATTCTGCCTTTGCAGAAGATAACTGAACCAAGTTGCTCATAGTACTGTAGCACCAAGGATTGAAGAGACCCACAAAGCACAAGGGAATACTGGTTTTGACTACATCATTTATGTGTAAAGTCGAGATCCCAGTAGAGCAAACACGACAAGGAGGAAATGATGAGAAGAGGCGGTATAGAAGGTATCCAGAGCAGCTGAGGAATCTCGACTACAAAGGTCCAATATTTATACTAGTACAAGTCCGTGAGAACCACCACATCATCAGGGTCCGCCACATCAGCTTAAGGGTTCATCTACGACGCCAAGCCAAGATAGTACGTGTCAGAAAGAAACAATGTGTCCGCAGTTAATCATACATGTCCAGAAAGATATCATACGTGTCCAAGGTAAGCCTACATGTCGCTAGAGAATCATACATGTCTGTTGAATGATAGAGAAGAGGTCTGAACGAAGGGGTCGAGTCGGAGTTTGGTGATTCGTAACAAGGTAAGAAACGTGGCAAGAGAAAAGAAAAGGAATAGAAATACAAGATAAAGGAGAAAATAAAGGGTCCATAACATCTTCTGCTTCTGTCATGCTCGGTTACAGTGCTGAGTACTTATGCACATATTTAAGGTATGTCTGTGTCAGGTCCCTCGCCCTTCACCCCTCACCCTCTTCTCAGGCTTTGAACGTATAATTTCACGTTCTTCATCTATTTTTTCTCATCGAAAACCATCTTTGCTTGGCAGTCCGCTGCAGAAATAGCTAGGGATTCCGGTTAGGGAATTGATCAGTCCGATATTCAGTGTGCTCATTATTTTCAAACTTACAGTGTTGTTTACAAAATTCATGCACATCATACTTGGTCTCTATATGTAAGTGATACTCAGTCACGGACCACTTTCTTCTTTACTGAAGCAATTTTTTCTAGCTGGGAGTGGATGAGTACATATTCCTACCATATCCTAAATGCTAATGGCACATCCAGCAGCAGCAGCAATAGTCCAGCTAGTGGAAGCATTGACGGCATGTTCAGAAAAGGACCTTGTCAAAGGTTTGAAACCCACTTGCAATGTCCCCAATTTGGAGAACATGTTTTCCTCCATGGAGTGTGACAATGGTGTAAGTACCAATATATTATTTTGGACATATCCTGCCATCAACTAACGTCAACATCATTCATGCTTAATACTAAATCAAAGTGTATTGATAGGATCGTGCCAATGCTCATCTTAGCGGGCAAAAACTCAAACACTATAATGAATCAAAGAGTCTCTACGACCTGCTCTCAACTCATCGCTTGAGATCTAAATTAGCTCTTTTCATTACGGTGCTTACTTAATGTCCTTGTTATCCCTTGTTGACGCTGTGCAATTGACAGTGCACATTTGCATCTATTTATTCCCTCTTTCAACGGGGATCGTTGATTGCTACTTCTAGCTTGTTATATTAGCAGACATTTCACACATTGACTCGAACGTCAACAGTTCACTGCAAACTTTCAAGTTCCCAGGTAGATTAAGTAACCCTTTCTGGCTGCATTCAAATGGTTGACACCATGTTGTGTTCCACCAATGAGGCCTTTACATTGTGCATTAATATCCATATGATCTGTTGGTTGCCATATTCTTCTCTTACAGTGATAACATTTTGAATGGTGAAAGTAGAAACAATAATTGTAACTAGATCACATCACAAAGATAATGAGTATATACTGCTACAAGCTAGCTATGACACCTGGGAATGGACAATTATTCAACGAGAGATCAGTGAGAGGCAAGGTTGAGAAACCGAGGATGGCAAAGGTAGTGTGAATAGAGCTCATACTTCCTGGCACCTTCAGACACACATAAGGGAAACTGAGTTTGTCACAAGTGGTGTGTCACACCTACTTTGCCACTATATCACAAGCATATTTCCTCACAAAGTCGGCCGCTACACATCATGCCATCCTACACCAAACCACCATGCAAACAACAACATCAAACTACTACTTCTGTCTATACTGGTAAATTCAATTCACAGTTACACCACGTCTTAATTGATCATGCAGTTAACAAGGCAGAGGGAATTGAGATGGAGTAGGAAATGACCCGGGTCATGAGTTTGTCACCCGAGGCCAACCTGGACCCATGAGGTGGGTACCCGCAGGTCCGGTGGGTCATCTCGTAAATTGCCGGCCACCTATGTGCTCTGTGGCTGCCAGTTCACATTGACCTCTCTGCTCCTCCTGTTTCTAAGTATGTGATGGTGTAGTGTATTTGACATGTTGTGTCCACACTATTCCCCATTACAGCTCACAGTCCATCCTAGCAGCAACCACAGCCATCCAGGCCTCAATTTTGAAAGGAGAGCCCAGCCCTCTCCCTCCTCAAGCACAAATCAGGCCATTTTTCTTTTTATGTGTGATTATTGGGGTTTTCGAGCCCTCCAAACATGCTTGTATTGTCCTTTTGTAAATGTGTAGCCTCATTCTTCCGGTACATCAACTTCTCCTTATCCCTCTCACTTGAACACCATTCTTCTCCTCATCTTTTTTCTAACCATTTAGTTTTGCTTGTCCTGACAGTTCCTGGGGTTTATAAGCCCTCCGAATACGCTTGCGTTGTCTGTTTGTCAACACATGGCCTCATTCTCCCAGTACATCCCCTGCCCCTCCTCCTCCTCACCCAAAAACTATTCAGCTCACTACCTTTTTTACAGCCGTGTTATTTTGATTATCCAGATGGTTCTTGGGTTTTTCAAACCCTCCATACACCCTCGCATTGTCTGTTTGTCAATGTGTGGCTGAGTTCTCCTGGCACACCTCCTGTCCTTCCTCCCTCTCATCTCAACACTATTCAACTCATCACATTTTTTCTAGCTGCATTGTTTTGATTATCTTAGTGGTTCCTGGGGTCTTTAGACCCCCTAAACATGCTCGTATTGTGTGTTTGTCAACATGTATCCTTGTTCTCCCAGTATGTCTCATTCTTCCCCTCCCCTAAGTACTAGAACACCAATCACATTATTACCATTTTTTGACAGTTTGGTAATTTACCCAGCCAGTACATATTACCATAGCATATATACCCGTGGCATACCCAGACACAGCACCTGACCTGTAGACCCATGCAGACCCAGGCCAAAAAACTGGGACCCGTACCTGGTTGGTCCGGGTCTAGGTGCATTCTGACTCGTGGGTGACCCGTGTCATTCCCTAAGGTGGAGAGGTGGAGAAGGAATGAATGTGAAAGGGAGAGGAAACAGGAGATGAATCAAGCACAGGCTGTCACTGTCGGTTGTGGTTGTGGCGGACGTTTATGGTGCCACTGTGGCACAGTTCGGAATTCTCCCGGTTTAGGGTTAGGGTTAGGTTGCAAAAAACTCGTCCATGTACATACCCTTACCCTTGTCTCTGTACCCCATATCTGTGTCTGTGTCTGTGTGTCCCTGAGCCATCAGCCCCCTCTGAGCTTCTATTCCTGATAGTCACGCAGTCAAAGCTGAAGTTCGCACACATCCCCCCTAGTATGTCTCCTGCAGCTGAACATTCTCTCTTCTGGAGTGCACACCCTGCTAATCCGGTTGTACAATGCTCAATGCTCTGTCTCTGTCTCTTCTCAACTGATGCAACTATCCTTCCTGTTAAGCAGCATAGGACTAACGTAGTGATACCGCTCTCAGTACTTACCTGGAGTAAGGCTTGGGTTAGTTGCTTGATAGCACGCAGTGGTTAGAGAGTATGTAAAAAGAGATTGGCATTCTAGTACAGAGTCCCAGTGTATATATATACATGCAGGGAGAGGTTATGTAATGGAATGCGGACACACAAGATGTGTATGAGAGCATATGGTTATGGTGAGAGCCACATCCTTATGTAAGTCAAAGTGCCACTTGGCTTTTTGGCGTGATGCCAAATTCTGCAACACATGAAAAAGCTAAGTGGCACCAGTCATCATGTGACTGGTGTGGCTCCTAATGAGCTGTGTTCAACCACGCCTTGCAGGACGCTGTTCAACACTCCCTATACACCTTCTCTGGTCCATTTATATCTTCTCATACTTGTTTCACTTTATGCAAACGACTGTATACTTCAGACCACAAATGGGAGGACGACCGGTTGTCTAGAACTCAAACATCTACTGTATCATCACCTCCTTCTCAGTGTAGTATGGTGACACAAGTAAAAGATACCTGCCTGAGATAAGTCATTGCTGCTTCTAGAGGGAGTCGGCTGAGGGCTGGACACACCGCACTTGGCAGGCATGTGTACACCTACAGATAGGAGCAAGAACTGGCTCAATATGGGAGGTTAAGAGGCTAGTCTGAATGGGGGCATACTAGTTATATGCTTGACAATTGTGCTATACGCATTACCAATGAAATATTAGAGATTGACTCTCAATGTAACAACAGAAAGTACAGACAATGAACAAGTATTAGAGGCATATAGCACTGGGACAGAGGTACGCAGGAGGGAACATGTTCAATAAAAGCAGATCTTGAATGTGAAAGTCGGACTTTTAAATCTTCATATTTAAAAGTGGATGAGTGATGTGTGGCCCTGGCTGACACACTGCATTTTGTTTAGAGAGCACAGACCTTCTTTTGGAGGAGCTATTTGGTAAGCTCTATTGTGAATATTGAGCTCCGGTTGGTTCAGGTAAGTACATTTCTGACTGCTGCATTGTGAATCTACATATATCTCACCAGATGATGTGTCTCGCTTATTGAGCTATCACCCACCATGCCCCCCATCCACCATATCATCTGTCCACCCTGTAATGAGTGCAAAGGCTAATCACCTCTAGGGAGTATATCGGAGATTCAGACTCGGACTTATAAGCTGGTTACCTTATAATGGTGATTGTATTGCTTTGCAAGAACGTGGGATCCCTTATAAGGTAATATAAGCTAAGGGTGGTATTTTTATCCAATGCTGTGCCCGCATGAACAGGAGATTAGATCATAATTAGCCTTATAAGGCATATTATGTCAGGAATAGAAGCTCAGAGGGGGCTGACGGCCCAGCACACACAGACACAGACACAGAGATGGGGTACAGAGACAAGGGTAAGGGTATATACATGGACGAGTTTTTGCAACCTAACCCTAATCCTAAACCAGGAGAACTCCGAACTGTGCCACAGTGGCCCCACAAACGTCTGCCACAACCACAACCGACAGATTCTCTGTCTGGTTTGTTGTCTCGGCATTCACCATGACCAGGAGCTCATTCAGCTCCATTCTTCCTAGCACCACCGTCACATCAAACTCTCCGACCGATCCACGCTGAAGCAGATGAACACAAGGCTTTGCAACCACCTATATCACCTTGTCTCAAGCCTGCTGTTATCACAAATGAAGGTACCATTCGGCTAAGGTGGATTCAAGAGACATGAGGCCCAACTCCATGATGTACAGTTTTTCTCTTGGAGAGTCATGAGACGTTAATGATACGGCAATGTTTCAGTCAAACGTTCTGATTCTTAGCTGGAGAGATACTGTAGTGACAGGGAATTCCATTGGAGGTGCAGCGAGTGCAGATGGGATGGGTCCTGGAGCACTAAAAGTGTTATAGCATTAAAACAAACTCAGTCTACTCATAATGTGTACAAAATAAACTACAGGAGAATCAACCTTCACTTTGTGCTGACAGCAGCTCTGGCAGGAGGTGCCTCTGGTAGTGCATTACATGCAGGAGGGACGGGTCCCAGAGCAGTGCGCAAAAATCAGAGAAGAATGAATAAAAACACCAGAAAGACATACCTTAGAATGGTGCTGCCGGCATTGATTGCACGCCTCCAACGTGCACTGCCTGTCGTACAGTTCAGCAGAATTAGAGATGATAAACTTCCAGACCCTGATTTCTTCATTGACAGAGAGTGGTCATATGATGGCTGAAGAGGAGTGGTCTGTCAATTTGGAGGTGCCATAAGCAGAGAAAGGTGGTATTTGATCCTGTCGTGGCAACTGACTGAAGTTATTGTCAGACACTGGACCCTAGTCATTATGCAAGAAAACAGCAGGGGTGTCAAGGGTAAACATAGCAAGCTTCACTTGTGTGAATACTTCACTTGTGCACTGGCAACCTTGTAGTATAGATCTATATATCAATAAGAGATTAAGGGAGAGGACAAAAGTGACGACATAGAGCATCTCCACACTTATCAAAATGTTATTCTGGATCCACACTAAAGACCGCTGTTAAGCTTACTCTCCCTGATAATGTGCAATTTAATTGTGTAGCTATATATACTCAGGACTTACTGTTTGAGGCTAATTAGCCTCTTTTAAAATTGTACTGGAGTGAGCTATGTACATTGCAATAAGCTCATGGTCCATTCAGAAAATATCAGCAGTATTTAGAGTTTATTTAAGATGACCTGTGCTTTTTTTGTTGTCATATCTGTTGTCGTGATACTCTATATAGCGCCACATAAACCTTATTTCCATATACCTATTTTGATACTTTCTACTATACTTTCTATGTACATACCCTGTCTCATGTACCACCCACACACAGACGCACACGTCCCATGACACTCAGATTTTTCCGGACAATTATAATATTTTTTCTCGTCTTCACAATCCCTTCGAGTCACCAGAGATCTAGTGTGAGAAGACCTCCAGGAGTATCTATATGCACATCAACTCATTTTCAACTTCTCTCCCCTGTCGAAATGATCTCCAGTGACATTTTCCTTGTCAACTGAAGATTGGGTGAATGTATGAATGACTCTGTATGATCAAAGGAGCTCCTGGAATTTCTCCAAACATTCTATGAATTTATTGCAGTCTCTCAGGGTGTCTGAGCCCAGCCATGGAAGGCCACACCGACCTGCCAGTTCTGTAGAACATTTTGACCTCCAACTCACTAGTTCTTCTCCTCCTTGCGACGTCCGCAGGGTATTCCACAGACTGTATTTTTACTTCAAATAAAATATAAGCATGGACTATATAGATCTGCCACTATAGATCTAGGTACTTAATCAAATATTTAGACAATGTGTTGCTCAATGTTGATCAGGGTCAGGCACAACTTGTGTCAGGGAAATTGTTATGACCACACTAGAATAACCATATCTTACAAAGAGGGTTTGCTGATAAGTGATCTCTCATTCAGAAACATACATCAAGGGCGAGGAAGAGGTTGTATTGGGAGGAGATTGATAATCTCAAGACTAGAGTACAAAACAGGAAGTAGGTAGGTTTATATACTAGCCAGAACCAAACATAACCAAACCCAGGCCACAATGGCACAGAAACTCGGAAAAGTGTGGCCCCACTGTGGCACACATCAGGAAATAATAGAAAATGCATGGAAATAATGAAAGGTCATGACAGTGATCCGATAATGGTATTGGTCGTCCTGCTCAGTCACCCCCAAGTAGAATATTGTGTGTTTGATATCAGAGGCAAGGTATTAGTTCATACGACATATCTACGTACCCGTACAGATATTCTAGGACTTCCTTTTGTTAAATAGTATTGTTTCTTAATAATCCACTTACTCAGCCAAAGTGTCCATTGTCTCTGTTGCTTATTTAGTCTACTCTACTTCTACTACCTCGTGCTCTTCACAACTCTCTCATCCTGGAGATCTCTCCCAATATGCTACAAGTGTTCATCTTATATTACTTGGCATTTATGATAGTATAGAATAATGGATCCTGTTCAGGACATGCCACGACTATATCCATGCGAGTACCTGTATCTATAGAAACAAGTACCTGTTCCCTCAGAGGCCACATCTATATTCGGGGTAGCATCTATAGGAATGGGTATCCATATTCACTGATACAGGTACTCATGGATAGGATTAATCTACAGGTATCTTGAAGGTACTGAGGGGTACCCATCGGTACTGTGGTACATATCAGCTGGGAAAGGAGGTGGAGAGGTACTCACCGGATCAATACCATTGTTCGGGCTAAATCAGATCAAACCAAGTACAGCAGGCATTGAGGGACATCAATATGCATCGATCGACCCCATAACATTGCAAATGTATGTGAAATTGAGTAAGAATGAGTGAATTTACGATAGAAGATAGCAGGGGGTACTCACTAGGTCAATATTGTTGTTCTTGACAATGAGCGGGCCAAATCTGATCAAACAAAGGGCAGGTAATACTGCAGGAGGTATATATGCATCAATTGATCAAAACATATCAGAAACACGTGCCAAATTGAGTAAGAACGAGCAATTTTACAATTGGAGAGGATATAGGGTACTCACCAGGCCAACATTATTGTTCTCGACAATAAGCAGGCTAGATCTCGTCAAATAAAATATAGTATTCTATACGGGACATTGATGAGCATCGATTGAGCCTATCACATCAGACACACACGGTACGGTGGTTTGAGCGAGAATGAGTAAATCTTTGATTGAAGGTATAGTTAGTACTTACCAAGGTCGAGATTGTTGATCTCTATGACGAGCAGGTAGAATTGTGAGGCGCAGATAATCGAGCACTCAAAGAACGACTGTGAGAAGCGTCACTGTCAATGATATTGCCCTCACAAAGTAATAGAAAAAGAAAGAGACGAAATCTATAGTAAGACTCACCTGTGAGAAGCGTCACTGTCAATGATAAAGAGACAAGGACGCTTCCCACAAGTCAAAAAGACGTGCTCCGGCGCTTACCGGTCTACTATACAGTTGGAAAACTACCTGCCTAAACGGGACGCAGAGGCGCGGAACCGAGGCGCGGAATCCGGCCCTCTGCGGCCCGCTGGCTGGCGAAATAACTAAAGTCATAACTCTGCAGTAAGTAATCCTATCAGTCCCGGAAATTTTGCTAAAATATCAGGAAAATTCCCTCTGTCTCGTCGTAATACTCCGGACAAGAATTTCCTCAACCGAATACAGGGTCCTATGAAGGATGTTGATATGTGTTGATCGATCTAGCTACATCGAAAATGTGCACTCATTTGAGCGACAACAAGCATTCTTATATTTGGAGGGGTAATGGGCACTCACCAGAGTCAACACCACCATTCACAACAACGAGCAGGCTGTTTCTTGTCAAACAAAATACAGGGCCCGATGCAGGAGCTCAAGACACATCAATTGATGGTACCACATTAGAAACATATGCAGTATTAAGCGAGAATGCGTGATTATACGACGGCAAGGGGTGGGACTAGAAACAAGTACACAGGATGAGAGGCACCACCATTAACAGCAACATGATGTGTCAATTCCGTCACATAGTGGTGTACGCTCAGGGAAGTGGGAGAGAGTATCTGGCCTCCGGCAAGCTTTGCCCTGGAAATAACGAATATGGTAGGTACTCTCCCACGAGGACCTGTGAACCCTGGCATCAGACCTGTATCCGTGCGCACACCCGTGGGAATGAGTCTCTGTATCCATGGATGCAGGTACCTGATAGTGTGCCTGATGAGTATCCATAGCAGGTACTCACGGGTCTCAGTACTCATGGCATGCCCTGGCAGGGGTGAGAGATTGTAATGAAATATGCCCTGCAGTCCAATTTTGGTTAAAGTGGGTGCACTTTGGTTGATGAATAACACTATATCAATGACACACGGAATGCTGCACTATAAATAGAACATGGCACTTTGTGTGTCATCAACACAGTGCTAAAAAAGATATATATGGCAGGTGATCAGAGTCATGTAAAAAGCTCATTTTTTTGGCTGTTTCTCAGTTGTTCTCATGTTTTATGTTCTGTGTGTCATCAAAGGACAGCTATGCAAGATTTTCTGAAGATGGAAAGAGCATCTATTCTATGTACTGTCTGTGCAAAGAAAGTGAAAGAAACTAAGCCAAGTAGCAGGATAGAGGAATTTCAATGGAAGCTTTGATGTGAAGTTTTGGACACAGTGGGTGCTCTTTTTCTTGTAGGTGGAAATGTGTCCATGCCGCACAACATGCCACCCCAGAAATAAGAATATGACACTTTGTGAGTCATTACCACAGGGCAGGTAGTGAGCGAAAGTGTATAAAAAGTCGTCATTTTGGCTCTCACTCAGCTGTTCTCATATTTTCTGCTCTGTGGACCGGAGTGAGACTGTGCATGTCTCAATAAGGCACAAAATATTGCACAAGACTTGATGCCTGTGCAGCTATTTGTTGTGAATCACAGTTCATGGTTTGTGCTGCATTTCCTTTCCCTTCAGTGACTCTGAAACAACCCTATATATTTTGCTTCGGTAGTAGGTTGCTTGTAAAATAAGCTGATTGAAGCCAAAATGACATGTGGGCCTGTTCCAGAGATATAGAAGTAGAAGAAGGTCAAAAATTACACGGACTGTCCAATTGTGATGGAAAATGAATAATTGTACAGGCATCAGGCCTTGCCATGCAGAGCACTAGCTGTTAACCCAAGATCATACTATAACTATGAGACGGGGGGAAGGTGTGGATGTGGTAGGAGGAAAATGACAGTGTAAGGCCTTTGAAAACTATCATGATAAGAGCATCAGAGTTACAGGGTTTTTGTACATCACTAGCCAACTCAAAAATTAGATAAAAACCAGCAGCATGAGCTCAGGCTATTTATTCTTCTGGCACGAGAGTGTGTGTGTCCGATACAAAGACCGCAAGAGCGTTGGAGTCAAGATCCGTGATTAGGCTTTCCGTAGCGGAGAGTAGTAAGTGTTAGCTCTTTGCAGATAAGACAATCAAAGAACACAGGAATCAAGAGTGTTGGGAAGACCCATAACCCATAAGATAATGACTGCTGTATAAGATAAACGAATATGATATTGCCCTCACAAAGTAATAGAAAAAGAAAGAGATGAAATCTATAGTAAGACTCATCTGTGAGAAGCGTCACTGTCAATGATAAAGAGACAAGGACACTTCCCACAAGTTAAAAGGACGCGCTCCGGCGTTAACCGGTCTACTATACAGTTGGAAAAGTAACTGCCTAAACGGGACGCGAGTGCCTAATTGACAACCTCTCCCTTGACAGTGTCCAACCAGATTACTCAAGCAAAGTCTGAACAGTAAACAAGAGACACGAGAGATGAGTTTTCGTTTACTATTCCATACCCCGCCTTCGCAGCTCCTCCTGATACTGCACCCACATGGCCTCTGCGATCACATCTCGACGTGAGTCGGCGCATTTGGTTTCCTCCGCGCTGATGAAACCTCCGAGGTGATCTGGATTACGTGCCAGTGTGTTTTCAGGATTAGTGGCCGAAGGGTAGATTTGACTACGGCCATCCTCGCCAGTGAGAGAAGGATCATGAACACGAACAAAGTTGAAGAGAGTGTTGGTTGTGGTTGTGGCGGACGTTTGTGGGGCCACTGTGGCACAGTTCGGAGTTCTCCTGGTTTAGGGTTAGGGTTAGGTTGCAAAAACTCGTCCATGTACATACCCTTACCCTTGTCTCTGTACCCCATCTCTGTGTCTGTGTCTGTGTGTGCTGAGCTTCTATTCCTGACAGAGAGCGGCAAGTGCAGGAGGAATCTTTGCCTGAGTTTCGAGGCTGAACTCGGGCTTGCACACGGAGAGGTGGAACTTGCGCTTGCTGACCCCGAATATATGCTCAACAACGGTCCGCGCCTCTGCAAGGTGCAGATTATACAACTCTTTCGGATTCTGTGGTCTTCAAATGGTACGCATCCACATCAATACTTAGATATATTCAACGTACCTGAGCTCACTTCGCTCAAACGGTGATACCGAACACCACGGTATGGAACAAGGATTGCATCGCACGACGGAAACCCTGCGTCGCCAAGATACATTCTTCCCGCTGGGATATATAAATCCTTCCGTCAATGCCATCGGCATATATGCACCATATTGTGAACCGTCTACAGCAGCACAGACATCCTTGAAAAAGGGATAAAACTTGGGATCGTCACGGATAGCGGAAGGTGTTTCGTCTGGGGGTAGGAATACATATTGCCAATAGAAATTTTTCGCAACAAGCGAGTTCAAGACAGTGTAGAATATTCTGCCGAGTATAAATTGAACGATAGAATTAGCCCAGAAGCATTGGTTATATGCATACACTCAAAAATACACAATTGTATCACCTACTTGCTGATGGTGTCCAAACTATGCTGAAAGCGCTGACAGACATGACGAAATGACATGCCCGTGACCGCTACATGAACAAATATGGCCGTGTTTTCGAGTGCTGTGATATATTTCGTATCACGGACATGTCCATATCGTATAAGCTCCACAGTGAGTCGAAGGAAAGTTCGCTTCGTCATGGCGAAAGCTGTGAAAAAACTAGAGTCATGGCCTTCCGACAGTGTTCAGTTTGAGCTGTAAGTTATTGTTGCATGAATAGATGAGGGTATGATCCGATAAAACTCACCGTTCAGAAGCTCAAGAACCCAGGCGTATCCAGAAAGAACAAATGTATGCTGAGGAGCCTTGCAGAGAAGAGGGCGGATCGCGTGATCCACCATAACACTACCAAGAATAGCCCCTGTCATGGCAAGGGACTTCTTACGAGTAGTCGAGTGTTCTGAACTGGAGACAAGAGCCTTTCGTAGGAGAGCGGCTCTCCTAGGTGCCCGCAGTCTAGCCATGATGGAGTGGCAGATGCGTACGACGAGGTCGAAATTCACGCTTTGCTATGCCGGAGACTCAGACTCGGGTGTATCCGACAAGCCAAACATACAACTATATTACACTACATCATATCCTTTTACCACAGGAAGACCAGACCAAGGTATATGTACATGAGTTCAGACATGACAGCATATGTGCACTGGATTGATGTATATCTATGGTAGGCTCAGCTCGCACGGAGGCTTTCGAACGGTGAGGTTGCGGGATGGAAGCCGAAAACGGCAGCCAGTGACTGTTGTGACGCTTTGTGACTTCCAAGTGACTCAGTTCCCTCGAGCTCCGATGGCTTCGGCTACCAACCCAACCCAGCCCACCCCGGCCCACCCCGGGCATCCGAACGGGGCCTAAATAGGAGGGTATGATCGGACTTTCGGTAGGTATTGTATCTGGGTCGGGATTCAAGCGGATTCTCTGTGAGCATCTTCATTGACGATATGACGATTGCTGCAAAGTCCAAGGCTGAAGTCGACCGGGTCAAGTTGGAGCTCAAATCTCACTTCAAACTTCGCGATCTTGGTCCTACTTCCTTTCTTCTAGGCGTTTCTATCAAAAGGGATCGTCCCAATCATACCATTCGCCTCTCCCAACTCCAGTACGTCTTAGATCTCCTTGATCACTTCAACTTCTCCGACTGCAGTCCGGTTTCCACTCTCCTTGATCCTTCCATTCGGCCTTTCCACCTCCATGGCACCCAAGTCGTAGGAAGAAGAGCAGCAGATTCTATTCCTTATATCAATGTCGTCAGAGCCTTGGCCTACCTTACGATCGCCACTCGTCGAGACATAGCTCACAGCGTCGAAGTCCTTGCTCGCTTCAGCCAAAATCCTGTTAGTTACGGTTGTGGCGGACACGCTTGTGGGGCCACTGTGGCACGGTTTGGAGTTTTCCAGGTTTAGGGTTAGGTCTCAAAAACTCGTCTATGTACATACCCTTCCCCTTGTCTCTGTACCCCTGTGTCTGTGTGTCCCTGGGCCATTAGCCCTCTCTGAGCTGCTATTCCTGACAAATCCAGGCCTTCAGCATTGGAAAGCGATCAACGACCTCTTTTGCTATCCCAAGGGCTCTCTCGACTATAAACTCACTTATTCTCCCACCTCCTCTTCCTCCACTGAGCTCTTCCACACCTATACCGACACTGATCATGCAGGAAGGCAAAGAATGTTGACAAGGGGAAAGGGAAAGGGAAGGAGATTGTGCGGAATGAAGAGGAGCCATCTTTAGAAGGAAAAGGTAGAAGGAAGCGGCGGAGGGTCAGTCCAGGCTGTGAGGGTAGGATGGAGGATCCGGAGGATCCAGAGGATCGTAGTGGAAAGGAGATCAGTGCTGGTGAGGGAGGCGATGGGATACCCATCGTACAAGAGGAGATGAGTGGTACAGAAGGGGATGAAGAGATATCCGTCGTGCGAGAGAAGATGACAGAGGTTGTGGTAGAGATGGACCCCGTGGACGTCCAATAGATCTTCATGGATATGGACGAGGAGTATCAGCAATACGTCCCGCACCGACCTACATCTCCCAGCCATTCGATGGACGTTGATCAGCCACTGGCATCCTCGTCAGCACATCCCATCCCATCATCATCAGCTCAGCATACACCAACTGCACCAAAGCGTACAACTTCCATCAGACTAGACGACGAAGAGGACATCAGAGTTACCGATGACTCAGATCGAGGTGGTGAAGACTTCGGACCAGGGGAGGGGATGTATGATAGTTGGCATAGACGATTGAGAGATCTCGCCAGGGAGATGCAGGAGCGGGATAATACAAGAGCAGAAAGAGTGAGGCGCAGACGTGAGGAGATGGGCCTAGATGAAGAGGAGATAGAGATGTGGGAGGACAATGAGTGGGCGCCATTCAGATCGAAATTGGATTGGGAGATTGCGAAGTGGGCTATTGAAGAAGGGATTGGCAAGGGTTCTATCGACAGGTTGCTCAAGATACCAGGGGGAAGGATATGTCTACCTATTATATCTATCAATACTAACTTCAAAATCAGGTAGCTGAACGTCTAGGTCTTTCATTTCACAATGCTAATGCCTTGCATGATAAGGTCGACACATTGCCTGATGATATACCATGGGAGAGCCACAACATCATATTCAGAGATGTGGACGGGTACATGGTGGTCTGCTGTGCAGGTGAGCAAACTGTTCTTCTTGTCTCTCATTAACATCTTCGCTGACCTTGCTTTCTTCTAGTCCCTTCTACCCGACAAATCCACTGTAGCTCCAGTCATAATCGCCACAGACAAGACCCATCTCACCCAATTCTCTGGCAACAAATCCGCTTACCCCGTCTATCTTACTCTTGGTAACATACCAAGATCTATCCGTCGAAGGCCTTCCCAACTGTCAGGAATAGAAGCTCAGAGGGGGCTGATGGCCCAGCACACACAGACACAGACACAGAGATGGGGTACAGAGACAAGGGTAAGGGTATGTACATGGACGAGTTTTTGCAACCTAACCCTAACCCTAAACCAGGAGAACTCCGAACTGTGCCACAGTGGCACCACAAACGTCCGCCACAACCATAACCGACACCAACACGCATGTATCCTCATCGGCTACCTTTCCACGGACAAACTAGACTCCTCTGATCTCACTGCTCATGAGAAGCGAGCGCGTGGCCAGCGATTGTTTCACGAATCTATGCGCCACATTCTGCACCCTCTCATCAAGGCAGGCTCTGAAGGTGTCAAGATGACTTGCGCTGATGGCCTTATACGTCGAATCCATCCTGTCCTTGCCTCTTACGTGGCGGATTACCCAGAGCAATGGCTTGTTACCTGCTCTAAACCAGGAACTTGTCCGAAATGCTCCTGTCCTGCGACGGATCTGGAAAATCCCATCCCCTACCCAGATCGCACACAGTCTACCACCATCCAGATCATGGACGATGCGCATAAATCAGCTACCAGCCGTTCCCAGTACTGGAAGGAGACGCAGGCTCAAGGCCTATCTGGAGGTGTATATCAGCCGTTTTGGAAGGGCTTCCCTTACTGCGACATCCACCTCTCTATCACTCCAGATGTTCTTCACCAGCTCTACCAAGGCGTCTTCGCACATATTCTTGAGTGGGCCACACTCATCGTTGGGGAGGATGAGCTAGACAGACGTATCCGAACTCTACCTCGTTCTCAGGGTCTTCGCCACTTCAAGCTTGGTATATCTAACTTATCGCAGATTTCAGGAAGTGAGAGGAAGGACATGGCAAAGATTCTGCTGGGGTGTTTGGTTGGGCGGGTCTCCAAGGATGCCATCATCGCTTCTCGCTCTATCCTGGACTTTATCTACTTGGCTCAATACCCCACTCATGACGACGAGACTCTTCAATATATGGAAGATGCGATCAAGACCTTTCACCATCACAAGAAGGTCTTCATCACCCTCCAAATACGCGAGCACTTCAATATTCCAAAACTCCACTCTCTTCTCCACTACATCTCCTCTATTCGTTCTTTCGGCACTACCGATAACTACAATACAGAGGCCTTTGAGCGTCTTCACATAGACTATGCTAAGGAGGCATGGAGGGCTAGTAACCACCGTGATGAGCAACCTCAGATGATTCGATGGCTAGGACGTAGGGAACGTATGGTGCAGCTTGAGTGTTACCTTCGGTGGCGCCACCCAACCAAGTTTCCACCAGACACACCCCCTCATTCTGACTGATCAGGCTCTTCCACCATCACAATCAATGCTCGCCCACACCAGCAAGTGTCTGTCTCAACCATAGAGCAGACCTCTCCAGGATTCACTCGTGCCCTCAAGGAGTATCTAAATTCTCGTGCCGGTAATACCCTTCATGCGCTAGAATGGCCGATTCCTCCCTTCCTTTCTCTTCCATATCCTTATATCATAACATTACTATTACTAGAGTTGAGCTTGGACACAAGGAGGTGCTAAGTGCTGAGCAGAGCGATGTGGAGATTGTCAAGGCTCAGCCTGCGCTAGGTAAAAGGCCTGCTTCTTATGATACTATTATTGTCTATGATACGCCTGACGCAGAGTCAACAGGCGTTGAAGGTACGCTCTTTTTCTAGTTCTTTCTTGGCTGTTGTCTAATGTGTCTATACCACTGATTATAGGGACACGCGCTGCCCGTCTCAAGGCGATATTCTCACTACCTGATAAAATATGCGGAAACTCTACCCCATGGTCTGTTTTGAAAGATCCCATAGCTTACGATGAGTGGTATACCAGATTTTCTCCCTCAGCTCACAGTGACCATAAAATGTATAACTTGAGTATTCCACCAGCACGCCAGGATGGTACTAGACAAGGCAAAATCATTCCTCTCTCTCAGATCAGACAGACTTGTCATCTCATACCCCACTACGACGCTTATCATAAAGTACCTACTCACTGGACTGCAGATAATGTTCTTGATCATTCTAGAAGCTTCTGGTTGAATAATTGGTGTAGTTTATATGATTATCAGACATTGTGGTAGACACAGCTACTGTACTAAGTACTGTATAATACAACTAGGCTACGTTTTACCAGCCTCCTTGATATGGCTGATATCAGAGCTCTCAAATGCTAGCTAATTTTATCTCTGATAAGCATACTGATATGACGCCATCAATGGGCGTCGCCCGCCAAAAAGCGCACGGCCATCGCCGAAATGGATGGCGAGAAACAGTCCGAAAGGCGCCACAGAGAGCTTGTCCATGGATTGCACACAATGATGACTGTGTGATGGGGCCAAAGAAGGACCCAGTATTATACATCATGTATGATAGTATGCGCATAAATATTTGTGGACCGATTCGTCATTGGCCCCTCATATCCACCAGACTGTATGACCTTCCATGAAAGGCGGACCTGTGCAAAAAATGTGCAAGTCATATCCAACGGGATAGTACACAGTAGCTCATACGATACACCACTCTAAATTATACATATGTTTCCTGAAGTATGTATTGTCATGTTGACACCTGATCAGCGTGTCAATGCCACGCAAGCTTGCAGCACAGGGTAAAAGTGCCACAAAACCACCATCTTTCGCAACCTTTGTCCCTCTTTCACGGAATATGAATGAACAACTCTCAAACTTCTTTTGTATTTGGCACCAGAGCTATATGACCTATAGAATCCATCGAAAGACCGAGGCCACAGTATTTGATCTCTGAGACTCAGATCTCTCTCTACTCACCCCAGAACGAGTTCTCTGTGTCTCTCTCTTTGCGCCAGACTCGTCACCATCGATATCTACTCGCTGCATTCGCCCTCTTATTGACGCCTCCATCTCTTCCTTTGCACGAAAATCGCCTCCTCATCGATTAGCCTCGTTTCGCCTCTCTTTTATCACTATCCCTTCCGTTCATCCACTGTCCTATCCGTCATCATGTCCGACGACAAATGCGCCGTCGACAAACTCAGTCGCCACAACTACAGCTCCTGGGGGCCAAGTCGATGGCACTGACATCGCTCCTACGCCTGCAATCACCCCGGCCATTACCTCGTCCGAAGCGAAGCAGATCAGGGAGTGGAAACAGAGGAAGGCGAAGTCTCCAAGAGAGAGAGGCCACACTCTTCTTCCCGGCCTTGTCCCCCTTCTTCGATTTAGTTTCATCACTCTTGCCTTCTGCGATGGCGTCAAGGACATCTAGATCTGGAGCCTTAGATTTCATCCATCTGCGAGACTCAGACTTGGCGGAGGAGTGGCTGCGGGGCTGGTGGCTGGTGAGGAAACTTTTGCCACAATTGCCACATACGTGCTCGTGGAGATTGTAATCATCCACTGCATGAAAGAGGCTAGAGAGTGAACGCAGTGAAGACCCTAAACTTTGACATGTTCTGTCATGACCATTGTTAGTTTTTGAAGTAAGGATAGAGGATAGAGAGGAGGAACAATGTGCCTGGTTGGATTGAACGTCTTATTCCTGTGTCGTTTGAGGGAATGTTAGAATGTGAGTAGTTCAGGATAATCACTGACGCACTCACCCAGAGCACAAAGACGAGAAAGATGATGATGCTGGCAAAAGAGAGTGAAGGTAGAGTAGATCGATAAGCCACAGACGTGGGAGATATGGCTGTCATGTGTTTGGTGCCATTGTGGCCCAATTTGCTGACAATTCAGCAAATTTTTGGAGCTCTCACAAATCACACAATACCAAATGAACAAGGTCACAAAATATATATGAATTACGCATTCTCAGTCTGAGAGACAGATTGGGTCAGACTGAGACTCAGACATGTTAGATTTAGAAGGTTTAAGTTTCGCCAAACCGAGGATGAACTCCACCAACGACAGACGAACTCCAATCAGTTCTCCCACTTTACCTTCCAACTGGTCCTTCATCTCCATCCTATTGCTATTTGCAAAACGAGTGAGACTCGGAAAAAATAAAAAAGAGTTTGATGTCGCCTCGCGAGTGTGCGGAGGCGTGTGAGTGTGGCGCGGGCTTAGCCGCGAACGCGACGCGCGTTGCATTGCGCATTCAGTGCAACAGAGTATACAACTTGAACTTTCTCGTTCAACATGGTGCGCTACTCAGCCGACCTGAAAATGGTCGCAGTCCGGCTCCGTCACCGGGGTCGTGACAGTGTCAAAGACATCATTAAAATCACTACAATGTCCCGACCAACCCTATTCCGTACATGGAGAAAACATCGCCTCACTGGCTCTGTTACCAACAGACAGCCTGTTGGCCAAGGTCGACCACGATCTGTGCTCTTTCGGGATGCCGAATACCTTCTCTGCCTTGCACGACACAGACCCACAAGCTTCCTAGACGAGTACTGTCAGCGACTTCACTCTGATCGCTACCTTCCTATACACTTTACCACCATACATCGCTTCTTCACCCGCGCAGGTCTGAGCGTGAAGCATGTGCAGAAGATGGCTCGTGAGCGGGACCCTATCAAGCGGGCAGATTATATCCGTCGTATCGGACAATACTCTCCCGTCTGCCTTGTTTTTCTTGACGAGGTCTCAAAGAATGACCGTGTCTATGCACGGTTATGGGGAAGAGCTAGATCGGGAGAGCGTATTGAGTGTTGTGCTCCATTCGTTCGTGGGAGGCAGATGTCAATGTTGGCAGGGTTAGCATTGGACAAGGGAATTATAGCGGCCGAGGTAGTAGAAGGGTTCCTTCACAACAGAGAGCTTCATGTCTTTTCTCCGTCGTGATCTAGTGCGTAGTTCCTATATCTCTTTTCCTTCATCAGTCTGAGCCCATTCTCATCTTGTACATAGTTACCAACGACAACATGCTACCCAGGACCCCGAAGTGTGATTATAGTAGACAATGCACGAATTCACAAATCTCTTGAAGTCCGACAGCTGATTGAGAGTTGGGGTACACCGTTTCTTGAACTGTGTTTGGGATTCACACTAACATCATTTTGATTCAGGATGCCGCCTGGAGTATCTTCCACCATACTCCCCTGATTACAACCCTATTGAACAAGCTTTTTCGGTCATCAAGTCACATCTGCGGCGCATCAGTATGTATGCACATCCAGGGAACCAGCTTTTCTATGTGATGTACCGGTCATGTAGCACAATTCTTCCAGAGATGACATGGGTTTTTTTTGCCCATGCAGGACTACTGTAGCCACAGACATTTCTTATTCCTTTGCCCAAACTTCCAAGAAAATATACGCAGAATTGACAGTGAGTCACAAATAATATATACATAAGAATATGAGACCGTCAACACCTCCTAGTCAATGTCCTTCACGGCATCAGCCAACCACCTCTCCTCTGCATCACGAACCTCGGCAACCTGAGTGTTTGTCAACTTTGCATCCGCAATGAGGTCTTGGTTTGAGAGGAGCCGAAGGATATGTGGGCCTGCAAGCTCCATCTCGCGGAGCTTACCCGTTGTTGAAGCAACCAACTCGTATTTGGTGCAGAATTCGTCAAGGACCATCTTTGGAGGAATGTGAGGACGAGTTGGAATATGATTAGCAGGACGATGGAGATCATTCTCTTGCCCACGAGCAACACGTAGAACATTAGCAAGACCTTCAAAGTTCATTTGAACATTCGGACCGGTGTTATTGGATGTTGCAGTGCGTAGGCGGCGACTGGCAAGGAGGTTGATGTCAGTGGTATTGTCATCCAAGTTCTGTGTGGCTTTGAAGTCGAAGATACCGCCGGTTGGAGGAGTCTGCGCATCAATGCCATCCTTACCCGCCTCCTATATTTACAATGAAATAGTTAGTGGCCTGCAAATGTGAATTTCCAGGAGAGAAGGTACCCATGCAGAACCCCATTCACTGAAGTGACGTGCAATGAGAGGTCCGTGGTCAAGATCAGGACCATACAACACACAGTGTGTTGATTTACAGGTTTTCTTGTGGCACTTATGAATATCCATGAGGTCATTAACACGCTCTGCAATTGCGGTCTCCTGTGGTGACAGACCAACCTGAACACCCAGAAATATGCAGTGTATAATAGTATCAGAATACCGGCCAACGTGAAGGAAAATGGATAGATACGTACTGTCTTGGCCTTCTTCGCAGCCGGTGCATTCTCTGCCTCCTCACGAGAATCAGAATCACTCCCAGTATCATCATGCTAGTTCAAAGGTTGAGAAGAGTCAGTGCTGAAGAGGATGAAATGATGATGGAAAGTACGCACCTCCACCTCCTGCTGCTTCATCTCGACTTTCAGCTTCGGCTTTCCTCTCGCTGACACATCCTTCACCATGGTCTTGTAATCGTCAACTGACTCCAGACTAATATCCTTGTCAGAGGTACCAAGGATAGAGTATGAGATAGACAAGCTGCTGTCTTCATTGGGCTCGTGTGACTGGATGTGATAGAGTGTACAAGTAGAGAGGAGATTCAAGCCGTCATCAAGAATCTGGCAAAGGGAAACCAAGAAGTCATCTAGCTCCATATCCTCGTGGAAGGCTAGCTTTTTGTTAACACAGTTGGGTTTTGCATTTTTTTGTTTCTTCGTATTCTTCTTCTCCAAGGGAAAAAACGATAGGTTGACGAGGATGCCAGCTCCTTCGTTGTATGAGCTCGGGCCCCTGTCAAAGGATAGCTCCAGCATACTCTAGTGGGCAGACCCTGGTAAAAGGACTTACAGTCACCCCACACTAGGTCATTCTAGACAGGTTCTTATTCTGCCATACAGCCTTTCACGTCGATAGACCGTCCACAAAGCAAGCAGTAATGAAAGAGACTCGAAGACAACCACGACGCAACGCACGTCGCGTTCACGGCTAAGCCCGCGCCACATTCACACGCCTCTGCACACTCGCGAGGCGACATCAAACTCTTTTTTTATTTCTTCCGAGTCTCACTCGTTTTGCAAATAGCAATAAAACGAACAGGAAGATTGATGTGATTGAAGCTGCCATGGCGAAGATGGAGGACAAACAAGAGCGCGAATATACCACAGTCCGAGCTATTGGCCTGGAACGGTACCTGGCCATACAAATAAACTGAGCAGAAATTTGAGAACAGAAATGAGCAGACATACCCTTTCATGTGGTGAGAAGGTCCAGTCATCCCAGCACGGCGTGTCCACATTGTAGGACGGAATGGAGGCTAACTTTTACACAAGCAGAATTAAACCCCGCAGAAAATGTCAGGCAGACAGGAGAGAAGATGCTGGAAATGACGAACCGCAACATATACCCAGTGATCCATATCCTTCACATTCTTCTTCTTCCCCTTCCCCTTGCCCGTCTTCTTCTCTGGGTGATTACGGTCGTATGTAGGCTTCCATGAATCATATACAGTGATAGAGAGCGTGTTAAAGTCGATACAGGCCGTAATCCAATGATCACGGCCATTGTGTATAAGGAGGATGATGCGCTGGATGTGAGTACAATTCTAATAAGGTGCGTGAGGCCCAATGGCCTGAGATGTAAAAATAAATAAACTTACGCATAAAACAGGATCACTAAGAACGTGACTCCAATCATCATCATCACTATCCTCTAACCCTTCAACGTGCGCCAGTCACAGAGACCAGAACAGACTGTCCAAGAGAAGAACTCCATCTCTAGGCCAGGGCATGCCACGATTATATCCGTGCGAGTACCTGTATCCGTGGGAACAAGTACCTGTGCCCTCAGAGGCCACACCTGTATCCGGGGTGGCATCCGTGGGAGCGGGTATTCATATCCACGGATACAGGTACTTGCCAATGGGCGGGTACTCATGGATAGAGATAATCTACGGGTATTTTGAAGGTACCTGAGGGGTACCCATGGGTACTGTGGTAAATATGAGCTGGGAAAGGGGGTATAGGGGTACTCAGCAGATAAATACCGTCGATCTCGACGACAGGCGGGCCAAATCATGTCAAACAAAGTACAGGAGGTGATGAAGAACATTAGTCCGCGTCGATTGAGCCTCCAATGTTGGAAATTGACACGGAATTGAGCGAGAATGAACAAATTGATGGTAGAGGGAAGTAGGGGGTACTGACTAGGTCAATACTGTCATTCTCGACAACGGGTGGGCCGAATCCCATCGAACCAAGGGCAGGGAGCGATGCGGGAGATTGAAACACGTCGATTGACCCTGCAACGTTGTAAATGTACTCGGAATTAAGTGAGAACGAATAAATTTACTGTAGAGGGAAGCAGGGGGTACTCACCAGGTCAATACCGTCGTTCTCGATGACAGGAGGGCCGAATCGCATCAAACCAAGGACAGGAGGCGATGAGAAACATCCAAACACGTCGATTGACCATGCAACGTCGGAAGCGCGTGCCAAACTACGGTTAGAGGGGTAATGGGGACTCACCAGGGTCAACACCGCCGTTCTCAACGACGAGCGGGCCGTTTCTCGTCAAAATAAATGCAGGGCCCAATGCAGGGGATCAAGGCGCGTCGATTTCATTTCGTTCTTGACATAGTGGGCGAAGAACGGTGTGCTCCGTCAGAAGTTCTACCACAGGCGCAAATCCTTCACGCTGAAGTGCCTCTTACCTGGAGGCTGGTTGAACAATCAGGTCATCAATTTCTGTGTTGATGGATGGCAGCCTAGAGCAGGGCATGCCACGAGTACCAGGACCCGTCAGTACCTGCAATGGATACTCGTAAGGCACACCATCGGGTACCTGTATCTGTAGATACTCGTTCCCACGGGTGTGCGCACGGATACAGGTCTGATGCCGGGGCTTACAGGTACTCGTGGGAGAGTACCTGCCATATTCGTCATTTCCAGGCCAGAGCTTGCCGGAGGCCAGATGTTTGTCCAGCGACTCTCTCTCCTCGCTCTCCTCCTCACTCTCTCCCACTTCCCCGAGCGTACACCACTGTGTGAAGGAATTGACACGTCGTGTTGCCATCAATGATGGTGCCGCTCATCCTGTGTACTTGTTTCTATAAAGATCTCGTGGGTCTTTGAGTGAATGAGTTTGGAGTCCTACCCCCTTGTCATCGTAAAATCGCTCGTTCTTGCTCAATACCGTGTACGTTTCTGATGTAGTACCATCGACAAAATGACACAGCATGGGCTATTGAGACACGTACGTGTTCAAGGACAAGCTTGACAGAGTCATTGGAGCCACTCCGAGTCTTGCCCTTCCACTGCACTTCACCACACCAGACAGAGACCTCCTCCTCCAAGAGCATGCATATGACTGTCACGGACGTGACCACAGCACCGAGACCTTGCAGAGGCCTGGAAAGGGTATTGCGACTCTCTAAGAGCAAGGGGCTGGTGACGACTGCACTCAGACGACTCTGCAAGGCATCTAGCTCTTTGCGTATCCTCTCCCACTCTGTGCAACGGTCTCTAACCCACAAAAACCCCTCCTTCTCCCCACAAAGCCTCTCATACACCTCCGAACATTCTAGATGGAGGAACGTACTGGTATCCGATGAGTCTGCACCCCATCTCTCTGCATTCCACAGCCTAACCTTACCATCATCCAAGCTCCAGGAATTTATTCCGACCGGTTTGAACATCGTCATGCTCGCAGCAGCAATTTCGTGAAGTTCGGCATGCAGCGTAGGATAGAGACGAGAGCCAGCAGGAAGTCCGAGCAGTAGTGTAGTAAGAACAAGAGAGGGTGGAGGTGAGGGTGAGGGTGAAGGGGTGGGAGGCCAGTGTTGGTTTCAATGTCGTTCAACACGCACAGTTTGCATACACTCGGTATGGGCTTGTCGAGGGGCCATGGTCGAGAGAGTTGACACCTTGAACGTAAAGTGGTTGAACTGGGTGAGCAACAGACAGATGAGTGATTCTATCATTATGTACCAGCGTCTGAGCTCCCGCTTCCATTGCAGCTGGGCCTCAGTATACTCGCGAGGCATTCTGGATATACCTAAGTTAGTGTTTCTGAGTATGTAGAGAGGTGAGAAATGACATACCTTGAAGAAATAAGTGAAATGCAAGCACAAAGTTGGAGAATTAGAGACAAGAGAGCAAGCGAGGTCGAGCGCGAAGACAGAGAAAGGAGCACGCTCGCTCGATCCCGCAACTTAAGTTTGCGGGCATTGCCGAAGAGTTGGGAATCGTCTGTTACTTTACATAGTAGCAGATAGTTCCCATTCGCGTGTCTCGGCAATTGGCGGGAATCGAGCTTGCGTGTTCTCCGTCCATCCCTCCTCTCTCTCTATTCATACACTGGTGATATGGAAGGAGATTTGATAAATAACATACACCGTCAAATTTGAGAAGCTCTGTGAGGGCTGTTAAACTTGGTCCACGCAGCTTCGCCCATCGTGTGAAGTCCCACTCCAATTGAGATGAGAGTGGTGCATAGACATTGCCGTCACCTTCAAGAGCGTCTCACGATCATTCGTATGCATGGCGGTGGTCGCGTGAGACAGGTGCACCCGGAGTTCTGAGGTGATTTGGGAATTGCTCGACCAGGCGTACATGTAGAAACATTACAATGTGAGCGAAGAGCTCCGTTCACTGACATTGTAATGTGAGCCCGAACTCCTAGCTGCTTCTTGTGCACTGTTTTCATGGAGTCACATTATAATGCGGCTTCCATGCTTCTATTGCATACTGTCCACTTTTAGATCACTGCTTTATTAATTATTGATACGACCTTGATTCCCTTGCCCTATTTTAGGGTCTTACCCTCATTGGGATGTGGCACTGGCTACTGCTAGAATTCTCCCTGCCCCCTGCCCCTGCCCCTGCCCTGCTTCCTTCCTGTTATACTTCACTCTGAACATACTACTTGATCCTAATGAGCCATATAAGCCTACATAGAACACCATTTGAATGTATTACTCCACAAAAGCCCTACCTACATTTCGAAAATTTGGGTCTTTTGTGTGGCACAAATGTGGCCCAAATCTTGTACCATGCTCCTGCTCTTGCTCATGCTCTTGTACTTAACTACTTTGTATTATGTCTGTTCTAGTATACTAATATGACATAGGTATGTGTTTATAACTATTGCTATATAGACTGCCCCTCAGAAGCTCTGAACAAATTTCGCTTTTGTGTGGCCCAGGTGTGGCCCAGACCTTTTCTACTCCTGAACATTTTGTACATCAATAAATATCATCATATATACTTCTAGTATTCTAAATTAGTCTTCATTGCATCCCTGAAGACCTGTATTGGTTCTGTTCTTGTAAAAGAATGGCTAAAAAAGCGTTTTTTGGGGGTGTGGCACCAGCAGCACTTCAGTTTCTCCCCTTAAAATATATCATATCCCAGGTATACAGATGTTATAATTGAAGTATGTGAAACATAGCTATAGGAAGACAAGACTAGGGCAGATATAGAACAGTATCAGAGCAGGGATATCTACATTTAAGGGGTATACTGATGTGGCCCAAATGCTGCCCTATCCTAAAAACAAGGTTTGAGGTAGATAATAATATGGTTTTGAGCATGTTCATGATACTAGTATATACAGTTTGTATATAAGTATCTATAATAATAAAAAATGAGAGAGAATCCAAAGAGAATGAAGCTGCACAACACCCAGTACTCTTGTGCCACAGCTACTTCCAGCCACTGATTGCGAGAAAATCGCGGAAAATGCCGAAACCACCTTCCTTTTTTGGTAGTTTGAGCGTCCTGGATGCCACAGCTGGGCCACAATCGCCCTGATGTTGAGTCGATTTAAATACATTGAGCAGCAATAAAATATCTGAAAAACTGTAAATATAATTAGAACATCAGCCCCAGAAAGTGTACAAAAGTTTTGAGGTAAGAGGAATACTCAGAAGGTTTGAACTGTGAAGTGCACTGTAAACCTGAGTTTGAAAGCGTTTAGTGGCTTGAACTTGTCTGCACTTCTTCGGCTTCTCCTTCTTCTCAGCCACCATGTCCTCACCTTCACCTCCTTTTCCCTTTGAGAGTACTGAGAGCCGGTCTAATAGCACCTCGCCTTGGGCTTGTGACTGTGCACTCCAGGAAATTAGGGAATTGGGGCTCTCAAGGTCCTGGACTGGCTATTGAGGTGTAGCTGTGGTCTTCAGCCCAGCATCCTTGATTCTCCTTCCCTCCCCTCCT